GCACAATATTTACACAAGAATCATTGCAAATGAGTCAATACTGCAATAACAAAAAAAATTGCACACACAAGAAAATGCAGTTTACAAGAGTAACAAAAGAAAATATTATCAAGGAAGGAACTGATTGAACACTTTAACTCTTATTTGCAGCTTAAGCAAACATTTACTGAACAAGGAAAAGAATGATTTACTTCAGAAAAAAGTTAAAAATTGCACTAAGAGTGAATTTGTTCAATGAAATATGAAAATAATAAAGGGAAAAAAAGTACGAAACAGAGAAAGGTTACCACTCACAATAAGTCAGGAACACAACACATCATCATATGCACAATACTATGAAAATTTTCTTGTAATGAAGCTTAGGGTGACAAAAATTGGAAAATAATTGTCTTGCTTCAAACAAAATAATGGCACTATTGTCTGTGGAACTAAGACAAATTAGACACTGGCTAAATGAAAAGAATTAACACAAGAATGTTCAACACACAGAAAAAATGGCAAATGAATGAATAAAAAAAATCAGCAAGGACACAAATGCTGGGAGAGAAAAAATAACTGAGACAACACTGAGTTGTGATGCAGAATATAAGATAACAAGTTACTGAGTTACTTCACTGCATAAATTACTAGACAAGGAACACAATACTGTGAACACAAGATAATTTATGAAATGTAAACACAAGTTTATACTGCTTGTATATTGCACACAACAGAGAAAAACTGAAAAGTACTTACTTCACGTAAATAAAAAAAAATGAATGCAACACAACAGACATAAAAATAAAGCACGAAAATTAACACTGAAGAAAGAAGAAAAAAAAATATTGCAAACAAGATATAATGAACAGTCTAATCAAGAGTCACTGAATATCACTCGTAAATGTCTCTATAAAAAAAAGTATTATCACTGTAGCGAATGGTGGAGAATGAGACTAGTGAAGGGAGGTGGAGGAAGGTTGGTTGTAGCTGGCGCAGCACTCCACTACCCGGCGAATTCTCGAAGTTTTTGCGCTTAAATCGACGATAGACTCACACAGGAGGCTTTTAGGTATGCGCACAGGGTCGAAGGAACAATCTTTCGTCTTGATCCCTTATGTGGTCCGTAAAATAAAGTGCTAGGACCCATTATAAGGGCACAAAAAAACAGAGGTGGGTGTGGGTGAGTGAGGCAACGCGGTGTTCGTGACTAGGCTTCCGGGATGGGATAAGCGGTGTAAGCAACTCTGGGGACACCCGCATTAAGCACAAAAATATTCTAAGCTGGCCGGCTTAAAAACCCACAAAATACCACGACACCACAGGGATGGTAAAACACACAGAACAGCTTGAACTGGAAACACAAAGTGACGGTGAAGGCTGTAACTTACGTGGCTTGCTTGAGTACTGGGTTAAGTCACCTGGGTTAGTTGCTGGCTTGTTTGGCTTAGCCCTTCACACAGACTGGCTTGAGAACTTGTAACAATTAGCACAGTAGGGGTGGAAAGCTGGCTAGCAGATAAGGCTGGTACTTAAGACAGGCTGGATGGTGTAGGGCTGACTCCCCCCCACAGACTGGCTTGGTGGCTTGGCTTAATTTGCAAACTCGGATGAACCCCTCGGAAGTAATACAAATAAGCAAAGAAGACACAAGGACTGACCAGTAAGCATGAAGCGAACAGGCTGGTGGACGCTTGCTCGGGTAGCTGCTGTGAGGTTGGCCTGCTGGCGACACAAAATGTCCGTCGTGCTGGTCGAAAGAAATCTCCGTACATCGGCGTAATTAACAATTTTACCCCAACACTGCTGTCACCAGATGTTGTGAGGGTTCGTAGAGATATGATGGTTGGAGTTAAACACAAGTCGTTTGGTGTTAACGCTTATATTGCAGACTGTGATAAGGAAGAGCCCAAACTGCCTGTCCTGTCGCCTGCTAAGCCTACGGGGAACTGAGAGCCGATGCAGCACATCCCATGCACTCATGCGGCATCACGTGGCATCACCCAAACTAGTCACTGGGCCTAGCAAGGGGTCGTGTATGTAAAACATATGGATGGTACTATGATACTCAGATAACATATACATATACAGAGGATCAGCAACTATGCTGACAGTCAGATTTGTGGTCTCTGCACACTGTAAGCTACAGGTCACTCACTCCTGCTAGTTATTACCACAATTAGAGTAGAAACAGCATAGATAAGGAGTGAGGAGCACTATTTCTGGGCACATATAAACAAATGAGTGCTCACACACACATACACACACACAGTGAAGAGGTGGGGCCAGGAGCTTGGACTCGACCCCTGCAACCTCAATTAGGTGTGTACACACACACACACGCACACACACATACATACACACACACACACGCACACACACACATACACACACAGGATAACCTAGGATAACCCAAAGAGTGAGCACACAGACACAGACAGACAGATAGACAGACACACACACACACACACACACACACACACACACACACACACACACACACACACACACACACACGCACATGCACATACACAAGCCTGGTCCAGCAACTGGCTCCTTGAATTTAACCCTGGCAAATGCAAAGTTATGAAGATCAGGGAAGGGCAAAGAAGACCACAGACACAATATAGTCAAGGTGGCCAAAGACTGCAAACCTCACTCAAGGAAAAGGACCTTGGCGTGAGTATAACACCGAGCACGTCTCCTGAGACGCCCATCAATCAGATAACTGCTGCAGCACACGGGCGTGTGGCAAACCTAAGGATAGCGTTCCGATACCTCAGTAAGGAATCGTTCAAGACTCTGTACACCATTTACGTCAGGCCCATATTGGAGTATGCAGCAGCAGTTTGGAATCCACACCTTGTCAAGCACGTCAAGAAATTATAAAAAGTGCAAAGGTTTGCAACAAGACTAATCCCAGAGCTAAGGGGATTGTCTACGAAGAAAGGTAAAGGGAAATTGGCCTGACGACACTGGAGGACAGGAGGGTCCGGGGAGACATGATACACAAGTATGAAGCAATTCCTACATGAGGTGCAGTGGGTAAGTTAGCTAGAGGGTAAGAGAGAAAACGAATTGATGGAACATGTACCACAAAGTGCAGGGAAGCAGTGAAGAAGTTTGTACCAAGGGGCAACAGAAATAACGGGAAGACCAGAGTGACCCATTGGCTTACTAGGAGGAGTAGAGAGGTCAAAACTAAGAGTGAAAGACTATGGTTAAAATTATAGAACACAAAGGACCCAGGAAAACAGGGAGATGTACCGAACAGCCAGAAATTAATATAACTGGATAAGGAGAGAAATGCAGTGTTAATATGAGAATGACATAACATCAAAAGTCAAATCTAACTCAAACTTGTTATACAGCCACATCATGAGGAAAACAACAGTCAAGGACCGATAATCAGGCTGAGGAAGAAAGGGGAACTCACAGGGAATGACCAAAAAGTATGTGAAGAGCTCAGCTCACGATTCAGGGAGGTATTCACAGTGGAGACAGAGAAGCTTCCAACAAACAGAGGTGATAGGGCGAACGACCAAGTGCTGGATACACTGCAAACAACTGAAGAGGACTTCAAGAAACTCCTAGGGAAACTAGGTACCTGGAAGGCGGTGGGCCCAGACAATATCTTTCCTTGGGTCCTGAGGGAGGGAACAGATGCACTGTGTGTGCCACTAATAAAAATCTTTAAAAAACAATCGACATAAGGCAACTGCCTGAGGTGTGTAAGACAGCATATGCAGTTGTGATTTCTAAGAAAGGAGACAGATATGCTGAATTAAATTACAGGCCAGTGTCGCTGACATGTATGTAAATGTATGGAGATTATCAGGAAAAGAATGGTAGACCATCTAGAGAGGAATGATCTCATACATGATAAGCAGCACGGCTTTAGGGAAGGCAAATCCTGCATCACAAACATATTTTAATTCTATGATAGCATTCGCTGCTCGCCTTTTGGTGCGAGCAGATGTGCACCTGCTGCCCTCTCTCGGCGATTAGAAGACTTTCCTCTTTTTTCCAATATGTCGCTAAGTGTGAGGAGAAGAGTAAATACTGTGGGTATCGAGCTGGTTCGCGGGGTGATTTCGCCACAAGCTGCTCCCGTGCTGTTGCCATTAATCATCCAAGATACATATGGAATAGAGGATGGTGGAATTATATGGTGTAACACTCAATGGTGCATGCAGGGTGTTCGTCAAGTTGTTGAACGCCGGAGTCTATGAGAGGCTGGTGGAGAAATACCAGGATGTATGAGTGGACTTCAATTCTATGGTGAGCATCCACCTTCATGATGTCTCCAGGCGCTATACTTGGGTTAGAGTGCGAAATGTACCATTTGAGGCAGATGAAATGGACCTACGCAATGTTTTTGAAGACTACGGTGCCTTTCACCTGGCCCAGCCTGCCAAGTGGGTAGAAGGTGCTTATGCTGGGCTCCCAGAGGGCACGTTCTTTCTGAAAATGTTACAGCATCCCATACCGTGGTATGTGATGTTGGAGGCCTTTAGGACACAGGTCATGTTGTCTTATGCAGGGCACCGAAGGACTTACAGGCATTGTGGTGCGTTTGATCACATGGCTGCACATTGTGAGCAACAGTCTTGACTCCATGGTCTAGGATGCAATGCTGCAGAGGAATCTGGGCAAGTCAGATGTGCCCTGGAGTTACAGGAAGGACGTGGGCTTGGTCGTCTGTGGAGTGAGGAGGTGACGCAGATGGAGGAGATGGAGGGCAAGGACCTGAAGGCCCCTGTGGTTGGGGGCCCTGCAGGATCCCTTTTGCCTGATGGTGGGGGACAGCCTGGTCCGGCAGTGGAGGCCATCGATGAGGTCCTAGAGACGGTGATCATCTCGCTGTTCACCCAGTCAGATGGGGAGGGCGATTCAGAACTGAGGGCTGGTGTGAGGAATACTGTTGACCAGTGTTGGCAGCGTGAGGAGTCCAATGAATTGGTGTATTGAGGAGCGATGTGCCAACATGGTGTGGGGGTTGGACATGTGGTGGAGGTGGAGGTTCACCATGAGGAATCACAGGAGGTGGAGATGGGGGCAGGTGGAGTCACGCTGAAGCATGAGGCCATGACATTGGATTCGGATGATGTCATAACCCGAGCACAGAGGACTGGGAAGGTAGTGGTTGTGGAAGCAGGTGGAGGTGGTCCCTCGGGGACTCCAGGCCCAGAGGTGGTCCGGGGGTTAGGGCTTCCAATAGGGACATGAGTAAAGGAGGTCCGAAAGGGCATGATGGTGTTGTGAAGAAGGTGTCAAAGCAGAGGGGAAAGAAACCACCACTGGCCTAAGGTGTATGACAGTTAACATTAATGGTTTGTGTCAGGATGTGAAGCGTGTGTGGTTTGCCAGTTTTTTGTGCTGGCATAGAGTGGATGTCATATTTGTGCAAGAGAACAATATCAAGATGGGGTGTGTATTGGAGGTGGATGGCTATAGGTTAGTAGAAATGAAGGGGGGGAAGGGCATAACATGAGATAGGATGGGTGGTTGATGGGCGAGCGAGTGGCATTAGTGTGAGTGTATATGCCTGCAGAGAGTGATGCACGAGTGAAAGCGGAAATTGTGAGGGACGAGCTTGTTTATTATTTCCGTTCATTACCACCTGTTGCTGCCGTGGGAGGGGATTGGAATTGTATTATTCATAGGGCAGACGTTGAGCCACTGGGGGCTGGGCATTTTTCAACTATCCTAGAAGATCTTCTGAGGAATGTGTGTTTACGGGACGTGTTTGGGGGTGGGGCTTGGAAGGTGGAGCACACTTTCGTCAGACGTGGATATGCAGCGAGGCTAGATCGGGTGTACATCATTAAAGCGGGTAAGAGTGGAGTCATTGCATAAGGTGGAGGTGGAGTATTCCGATCATAGGGTGGTTATGGTAGACTTGGGGTGAGATGGGTGGCCAGGAGGTGTAAAAGCTATTGGAAGCTAAATTCAAGGATCCTGGGTGATGAGGAGGGACAGGGGGGATTTGAGACTTTGTGGGAGGAGCTAAGTGTGGAAGGGCAGGGTGTGGATGATTTGCTGGGGTGGTGGCATGGGGTGGCTAAGAGATGGATACGTCAGTTTTATGTGAGGGAGGGGAAACACATTATGCAACAATCACAGGGGCTCCTTCAGTACTTAGAGGGTAGGTTGAGGGCTTGTTATGGGAGGGGTGGGCACGGGGGTTATCTCCTGTGGAGGATATAGATATGTTGAAGAGAAGGATTCATGAGCTGCAAAATGAGCATTTCGATGCGGTGTATGTGCAGGGGGGGTTGAGGAGGTGCTTTGGGGTGATCTATCATCGGCATGTGTCTTATGGGGACAACAGAGCCAACAGAAAGCCAATGAGGTTGGTAGGTTAGTCGTCCACTCGGGAGTGGGGGGTTATTGTGTGGGGCAAGTGTTGCAAATGACAGAGGGGATGAGTGGTTATGCAGATGCGTGGTATGAGCTGTATTTGGGGAGTAGTGCAGTGGGAGGAGAGGCTTTATGTAGTGTCTGCAAGGGCTGGTCTCAGATCGAGCCATGGGGGCGTTGACCCCTGAAACCCTTTCCAGGTAAACTCCAGGTAGGACCATGTTCATTGGGGTGTAGTGATTGGGTAGTGCTGGGTGGGGAGATAGATGAGGGTGAGGTTTGGCGGGCATTGGTGGGTATACATAAGGGAAAGACACCGGGGATAGATGGACTGCCATGTGAATTCTACCTGCGGAATTGGCAGTTAATGCATGGGTTCTTGGTGAAGTTGATGAACACCATGAAGGAGAGGGGGCGTTTGGGGGAGTTACAAGCCACAGTGGTGGTCATTCTGGTCCCAAAGGGAGAGGCCCAGAGTACCCTGAAGGATTATGTGTGGATTATAAATTGTTTGCAAAAATACTGGGAAATTGCCTGAAATGTGTTGTGGGGTGCGTCGTATCGGGAGGGCAATGCGGGTTGCTTGGCAGGTCTATGGTCGAGGGCCATGTGCGTATTAAGGGATTTGTGGAGAGTTTGGGGGGAAATAGGGGGTTTACTTGCCTTGGATTGGCAAGGGGCATATGATTGTGTGGAACAGGAGGCATTGTGGCAGACTCTTCTGCGGCAGGGATTTTGGTAGGAAGTTGTAGAGTGGGTAGAGACATTGTATCGAGGGGCATGGGTGTGTGTGCAAATCAATGGTCACATAGAGGAAGCGGTGTGTATCGGATGGGGCCTCAGGCAAGGATGTCCACTTTTGCAAATCCTGTTTGCCTGTGTTCAGAACCCATTTTACAGATTCATTGAGGCCCGTATCTGTGGGGAGGTTGGGATGCGGGAGGTGGGGTGTTGGCCGGGGATCGTGGGATATGTCGACAACACGACAGTTCTCGTGCGGGAGGGAAAGGGTTTGAGAGAGGTGGGAGAAGCCATTCATACAATTAGGGTGGCTATGGGGATGAGGGTAAATGTGGAGAAATCGTGCTTAATGAAGCTGGGGAATTGGAACTGGCAGGGAGAGTGGGGTGCCGGAGTGGAGTGAAGGGTAGTGGATAGCTTAAAGATACATGGAATAGTGTGTACGGAGGATCAAGAGTGGACGAGAGAGGTGAACTCCGAGTGTATTGTGGAACAGGTGGAGCACAAGCTGGGGAGTTTGCGACCGTACCATTTGACATTATTGTAGAGAGCCATCGTGGTAAACACATTATTATTCAGTAAGGTCTGGCATGTGGCGGTGGTATACCTCATATCAGGGCAAGGAACTGCAAGAATCTTAAAGAGGGTGTTCAAATTTATATGGGGATTGGGATGTGATTGGCTGAGGAGGGAGATGGTAATGCTGCCAGAATGTCGGGGGGGGGGGTTATGGGATCTGCTGCATTGGGTAAAATGTGTTTATTTATGAAGGGAGTTCGTGCATGTTGGAAGGTGCGGAAGGGGGGGGGGGTTGGAGCTTCTGTATGAGTGAAGAGGTGGTATTGGGGTGTGGAGTTGAGGGAATGTGAGGCGGTGCTGCATGCCCTTATGGTCCTACAGGAGTCTGGCAAGATCTCCATGGGGGTGTTGGTGAGATTGATTGGAAGCCAAGTGGTGGTGCCGGTGGAGGGGATATACCCCATGTATGGGTGGGGAGATATTTGGCGCTGTTTTCGCAAGTTGAAGCTTAGGCCTTGGGTGCAGGAGGTTATGTTCTGTTTCCTGCATGGCATTTTGCCATCAGGAGCGGTTCTATGGGTGAGACGAGTGGTGGAGGAGAGTGGGTGTGGGGTGGGGTGGGGAGGATATGGCGTATCATGCGATGTATTTTTGCGAATGTTTGGGGAATGTTCGGGATTGGATGGGTAGGGTAGTGAAGCGAGTGGGAGGGGGGTCGTATCGGTGCTGAGGGCGCTCGTTTTGGATGTGGGAGAGGTGCCTGAGAGTATTCAAAGGGCATTGGCATATTTAATGGTAGATTTTTTGTACGTGTTGTGGGATATGCCTGGGAATGGGGATTAGGTTGTGCAGAAAGGTGTAATGGCAGTGACTTTCTATAAGATGGTTTGCAGGAATAGGGAAATATATGGTCGGCAGTGGGAGGTGACTTTTCCTGCAGATGTGGCTCGTCCCCCAGGATGAGGATTGTATTACTATCTATGTACATATATCCTGGCATACGCTATTGGTCACTTCACATCACACCTGTGTTCAGGTGTTATAATATATTTTTAGGTATTATTCGCTTGTATGCTGTAAGGATGCTTGGGCGAGGTCTGTAGTGATTGTGATACTGTCGTGCTCTGTGACAGGCTTATATGCTTATGTAAAGTTAGGTGAATGAGTGAAAGGGTAATGTGTAATGACGAGAGAAAGTGGGCGGTGCTCAAAGGGGGGGGGTAGTGGGGGTAAGGAGTGTCGGAGATGCTGGTTTTGCAACATGGTAGTATTTATTATATACACCTTGGTTATGCATACTGACCTTTGTGCAGTGAATAGTTTGTGATTGGGTAGTTTATTTTTGTGCTCGCATTAGGTTATAGAAGACTGTGCTGTGATAATATTGAATTTTGCTGACAGTATACTGAATCTTGCATAATGATATACCAATTGTATGTGTGCAACAAAATGTTAATTAAAGTAATTGTGGCCAGTGTATTTGGCGGAGGTGTGTGTAGCTCAGGTGGATATAGGTACTTCTGTATGATTTACCCCCAAGATAGGGGAAGTATTAGAGATGTGTCCATTTTTATATTAATATATAGGTGTATTAAGTTCTGTGCATAAATTTACACGAGTACACTGTTGTATTGGTCCACTGCACGTCACACTTACGTTAAAGTGAGACATGATAATTATAAGTATTATTCATATACATAATGTCAGGTTGCTTGAGTGGTGTATGTTGTATTTGGGATTTTATCGTTTTCCGTGAAAGGTTTCTTCTCCTGTGTACAGCTATGTGTATGTGGGATATTTTCCGTATGTACCTATTGTTCTCAATATGTTTATTCTGTATATTATATCTGTTTGTACAAGATGTTCTCAGTAAAATATAAAAAAAAATTCTTTGATAAGGCAACAGAAGACAAGGGAGACAGGGATGGGTAGACTGCATCTTCTTTCGACACAGTACCACACTGTGGTAGGAGTAAGCAGGAAAAGGAGGGAATGTACCGCATTTCATCTGGGAATACCTGACAGGAAGAAAACATCGTGTGTCTGAATGAGATGAGGTGTCAGATTGGGTGAATGTGATGATTTGGATTCTACAAGGGCCAGTCCTAGGTCCAGTGCTCTTCCTTGTATATGTGATTGGCATGACGGAAAGGACTGAGTCACAGGTATCCGTGTTTGTAGTTTAGGTGAAACTAATGAGGAGAATACAAGCGGACAAGGTTCATGTAAGCCTACGTAGAGATCTGGACAGGCTACAGACTTGGAGTTTAACTGTAACATGTGCAAAGTTATGAACCATTCCACGGGTGGGGATTGAACTCGTGGCGAATGAGTCGTGTCATCACGATATCGTGAGTCAAAGTTATGAAAGTTGAGGAAAATCAAAGGAGACTGCAGTCGGAGTACAGCCCAAGAGATCAGAGGCTACTCACCCAAGGAAATTGATCTTGGGGTGCGCGTCACACCAAGCACATCTCCTGAGGTGCACATCCACCAGTTAACTGATACAGCATACAGGCGCCCGACAAGTCTGAAAATAGCCTTTCGCCAGTCTAAGTAAAGAGTCATTCACGATACTGTACATCGTGCACGTCAGGCTCATACTGGAATGTGCAGCACAAGTATGGAACCCACACCTGGTCAAACACGTCAAGGAATTATTAGAGAAAGTGCAAAGGTTTGCAGTAGCTGAGAGGTTTGTCCTATAAGGAGAGATTAAAACAATTCAACCTGACAATACTGGAGGATAGGAGATATAGGGAAAACATGATAACATAAAAAAACTGAGAGGAATTGACAAGATGAATAGGAAAAGAATGTTTCAGAAATGTAACAACGCAACACGGGGTTACAACTGGAAGGTAAAAATTCAGATGAGTCACAGGGATGTTATGAAGTACTTCTTCAGTCAGAGTTGTTAGAAAGTGGAACAGTCTGGAGAATGATGTATTGAAGGCAGGATCCATACATAGTTTTAGGAAGTGGTATAATGAAGCTCATGGGGCAGGGAGAGTGGATCTAGTAGTGACCAGTGAAGAGGCAGGACCAGGAGTTATGACTCCACCCCTGCAATCATAATTAAGTGAGTACAGTTAGGTAAGGGGTTAAATGATAAAGAATCTAACACAAAGTGGGAGTTGTTTTCTGCTAATGACACTGTGCCTTTGAGAGATGCTGAAGAGAACTTACAGAGGTTGGTAGATGAGTTTGGTAGGGTACGTAAAAGAAGAAAATTAGAAGTGAATATAGGAAAGAGTAAGGTGATGAGGATAAGAAAAAAAATTAGATGAAAGATTGATATCAGATTGGAGGGAGAGAGTATGGAGAAGGTGAATGTATTCTGATAATTAGGAGTGGACGTGTCAGCAGATCTGTCTTTGAAAGATGAGGTGAATCATAGAACCGATGAGAGGAAAAAGGCGAGTGGTGCACTTATGAGTCTGTGGAGACAAAGAACTTTGTCCATGGAAACAAAGAAGGAAATGTAAGAGAGTATAGTTATACCAACGCTCTTATATAGGTGTGAAACATGGGTGGTGAATGATGCAACAACAAGAAGGTTGGAGGCAGTGGATATGAAATGTCTGAGAGCAATGTGTGGTGTGAATATAATGTAGAAAATTCGTAGTTTGAAAATTAGGAGGCGGTGCGGGATTACCAAAACTACCATTCATAAGGCTGAGGAGGGGTTTTTGAGGTGGTTCGGACATGTAGAGAGGTGGGAAGAAATAGAATGAGCTCGAGAATGTTTAAATCTGTAGTAGAGGGAAGGCGGGATAGGGGTCGGCTTAGGAAAGGAGGGAGGGAAGGGGTAAAGGAGGATTTGAGTGAGAGGGGCTTTGACTTCCAGCAAGCATGCATGAGCGTGTTAGATAGGATCAAATGGAGACAAATGTTCTTAGGAATAGACGTGCTGTTGGAGTGTTAGTAAGATAATATTTATGAAGGGATTCAGGGAAACTGGCAGTAGGTCTTCGTCCAAAGATTGGACAAGTTTTGAAGAATTCTTTGTTCCAAGATCCCATGATGCTGCAGTGTCTGACACATGTAATAAATGGTTTAAAAAAAACGACAAGTTGAAGATTGAGACATGGAACAAAGAATTCTTCAAAACTTGCCCAGTCTTTGGACGAAGACCTACTTCGACTAGTGGATGGTACCACTATGACTCCATCTCCTGCTTCGCCTCACCTGACTACAGTATATAAGCCACGTCTACAGCCCTATGCTGTACATTCTACAAGATTGATGGACTGAACACATCGACTCCAGGCTGAGGGATTCATTATCTCAAACACCTCCTCTCCTTACACCTTTCTGCTTTGCATTGGACTGATGAAGCCAATGAGTGGCGAAACGTTCCCTCAATAAAGATTCCCATATGTTGCATAGTTTCAATATATGGAATTACCCCAATAACTGCGATCAAATCTCAGTCCCAGACTTGGGACAGAGATTTGATCGCCGATTTCTTGGAACTGAGAAATTACCTGGGTGGGCTAAATTGGGATGGCCTGACTATGGGTCACGTAGGTGAACTTGGTTGTCAATACGTCGTTTTTCAGAGCATAGTTCTAGCTGTCCAGACAACTTTTTTTCTGAGTAGGGAAATTAGATATAACAAAAATGATCCCAAATGGATGAACAATAGATTAGATCATCTCATTAGTCAAAAGAGAGGCATATATAGGCGAATCAAAACAGGGGATGGGCAGTTAAGAAATCAATTTATTCAATTAAAGAGTGAAATAAAAATAGGAATAAGAAAAACAAAAAAAGGGATTGTAAGGCTAAGGTCGCAAGGGATACGAAGACTAACCCATAAGGGTTCTTTCAGGTATACAGGAGTAACATTAGGGACAGTTTAGGCCCACTTAAGAGTAACTCAGGTGAGAACACTGACAGTGATAATGATATGTGAGAAACTTTAAATTCCTACTTCCTCTCAGATTTTACCCAGGAAGATACTAGAGAAATTCCTGAAATAACATATTATGTACAACAGGACGATAATAAAGTATGCACGATTGCTGTAACTAGTGACATGGTCCTCAGATAAATAGAGAAATTAAAACCTAACAAATCCCCAGGCCCTGATGAACTGTTTGCAAGGGTGTAAATGGAATGTAAAGAGGAACTTAACATACCTTTGGCTAATCTTTTCAACATATCACTACAAACTGGCATAGTGTCTGATAAGTAAAAATGGCAAATATATTACCTATTTACAAGGCAGGTGACAGGTCCTTAGCGTCGAACTATAGACCAATAAGCCTTACCTCCAGAGTGGGATAATTTATAGAATCAATAATTGCTGAAGCAATTCGTTGTCATCTTCAAGGGGATAAATTGATTAATGAATCTCAACACGGTTTTACAAACGGGCATTCCTGTCTTACGAATTTACTAACCATTTTCACTAAGGTGTTTGAGGAGGTAGAGCATGGTATTGAATATGATATTGTGTATATGGACTTCAGTAAGGCTTTCGATAGAGTTTCACATCAGAGGATATTGAGGAAACTTAAGGTACACGAAATAGGAGGAGAATTTTTTTCCTGGGTAGAGGCATGGCTGACAAATAGGTAGCAAAGAGTTTGCATAAATGGTGAGAATTCAAAATGGGGGCACGTCACAAGCGATGTTCCGCAGGGGTCAGTGTTGGGCCTGTTGTTGTTCACAATTTACATAAATGACATAGATGAGGGAATAAATAGCCACATAAGCAATTTTGCTGATGACACCAAAATAGGCCGTCCAGTTCATTCTAATGAGGACACTAGAGAACTCCAGGATGATTTGAATAGACTGATGCAGTGGTCGGAGAAGTGGCAGATGCAGTTTAATATAGACAAATGCAAAGATCTAAATGTTGGACAGGAAAATAACCATGCCACATATAAACTAAATAATGTAGATCTTAATAATACTGCTTCCGAAAAGGATTTAGGAGTTCTGGTTAGCAGTAATCTAAAACCAAGACAAGACTGCATTAGTGTTCGTAATAAAGCTAACAGAATCCTTGGCTTCATATCTAGAAGTACAAATAATAGAAGTTCTCAGGTTGTTCTTCAACTCTATATATTAAATAACAAAAAAGGCACAATACCGTGACTGGAACGATACACAAATAACCCACACATAGAAGAGAGAAGTTTACGACGACGTTTCGGTCCGACTTGTACCATTTACAAAGTCACACTAACCAGAAGTGGAGCAGGACGGCTATATATAGGCAGGAAGAGGTAGTGGTGGTAGTAGTAGTAGTAGTAGTAGTAGTAGTAGTAGTAGTAGTAGTAGTAGTAGTAGTGGTAGTAATGGGGAATAAGGAGGAGGAGCCAGTCAAATACAAAGAAAGGGGAGCACTGCAAGGGAGCTAGGTGCACACAGAGGGAGAGCAAGTGCACAGAGGTGAATGAAAGGGGAAGTGGTGAAATAAATAATGAGGGAACAGAAACACGAGACAGAAGAAAGACAACCCAAAGGAGAAAAGGAAAGAGGAAAGGGGAAGAGGGAGAAGAAGAAAAAGAAAAAGGAAAAACGAGGAGTCAGGTTAAGTCACTGGTATTGTGAAGTTTGGAGCATTTTACAATGTAGTGGGAGAGGAAGGCATCTACAGAGATGAAGCCAGGACTAAGATTCATACAAGGAAAGTTGTGTATTAGAGAGGATTCAACTAGACGGCGACTGTTAAAGTTGGAAGTAGGGAAGACAGTTTTAGCAGATGACCAGTCAATAGGATGGCTATGATCTCTGACGTGATAGAAAAGAGCATTGTTAGTGTCGGCAAGCCTAACACTACATTTGTGCTCCCTAAGTCTGTCAGAAAGAGATCGACCAGTTTCTCCGAAGTACTGAAGACGACAGGAGGAGCAAGAAATAGAGAAGACACCAGGAACATCTGTAGAGGGAGGAGAGGTATGAACGAGATTAGTGCGAAGAGTGTTAGTCTGGCGGAAGGTAAGCTTGATGTCTAAGGGACGGAGAAAATTGTTGAGATTAGAAAGACCGGAAATGGAGGGAAGGCAGAGGACAGAAGAGTTCCCAGGAGTAGAGAGTTTGGGAGAGAAGAAATTACGTTTAGCACGTGAGAGGGCAGAGTCTATGAAATGGGAAGAGTAGCCAAATAAATAACAAAAAGGCACAATACCGTGACTGGAACAATACACAAATAACCCGCACATAAAAGAGAGAAGCTTACGACGACGTTTCGGTCCGACTTGGACCATTGACAAAGTCACGACAAAGTGACTTTGTCAATGGTCCAAGTCGGACCGAAACGTCGTCGTAAGCTTCTCTCTTTTATGTGCGGGTTATTTGTGTGTGTAAGAGTAGCCAAGACGGGAAAACGAGTTATGAAAAGTGGAAATTTCCGCTGGAAGGAACTGAGGATCACTGATACGGAGGGGACGGAGAAAGAGGGAGATAAGAACACTTTTCTTGACAGGGGAAGCATGATAGGAAAAGTAGTGAATGTACATGGCACTGTGCATAGGTTTTCGGTAAACGGAAAAGGAGAAACCTGTATCTGAGCGGTGGACATGGACATCAAGGAAAGGAAGCAAGAAATTAGGTTCCCATTCAGCTTTAAACTTAATGGAAGAGGCAAGATTATTAAGAGCTTCAAGAAAAGGTTGGAAGAGACTGGAATCATGAGGCCACAGAGCAAAGATGTCATCCACATAGCGGAGCCAGAGTGAAGGTTGCACATCGATGTTAGGAAGAAGAACAGTCTCAAAATATTCCATGTAAAGATTAGCAAGGACAGGAGAGAAAGGAGAGCCCATAGCCACACCGAAGGTTTGAGAATAATATTTCCCTTGTAAGGAAAAGGAATTAGAGTCCACACAGAGGCGGATAAGATCAAGAAAGACATCAGTAGGTATAGGAAGATGTAGAAACCCGTCATGGGCCTTCTCTCTAAGGAAATCAAGGACATCATCAAGAGGAACATTGGTGAAGAGGGACCCAACGTCAAGACTAAGCATCTTACAGGTTGGAAGAGAGCGAACTCGTTCAATGAAGTCTTGAGAGTGACGGAGGTGGGCAGGAGAAAAAGTACCAAGAAAGGGAGTGAGGGTTTTGGCCAACCAAGAAGCAAGAGAATAAGAGACAAAACCTCTAGAGGATATAATAGGACGAAGAGGAATGTCAGGTTTATGAGATTGGGGAAGGCCATAGAAACTGGGAAGAGAGGGACAGATGACACGAAACCGTTGAACAAGGTCAAAGTCAGGAGGACAGAGGTCGGAGAGAGTCCTTAGTTTCTTGTTGAAAGTTCTCTTGATGCGATCAAGAGGGTTGGAAACGAAAGGAGTGTAGGTACGTGAATCAGAGAGCAAGACATCAGCTTTGCGGAGGTAATCCTCGCGATCAAGGATAACTACCGAATTACCTTTGTCAGAAGATGGTATGACAATGTTAGTGTTGGATTTAAGAGAAGAAAGGGCAAGTTGGTAACGGCGCGGAAGGTAGTGATTCTTAGAAAACAGACTAACAAGAGCAGGAAGGAGAGCGCCACGAAAAGTGGACAAATCAGGAAGATTACAGGAGCGAGATTGACGAAAGGAATCAAAAGAGCTAATCAGGGCAATACAAGCGCGAGGGGTAGTCGAAGTGGCAAAGGAAAGGCCGAAACCAAGAAGTTCAAGCTCATACTGAGAGAGTGAGACAGAAGACTGGTTAGTAACACAGTCAGTGAGGGAGAATTTAGACCAAGGGCTAGCTGAGATGAGACGCTGAAGTTTATTCTGTAGTTTAGAAGAATGAATTTGTGTATTCAGGCAAGCAGTGTCAAAGGCAATGGAAGAGAGAAGGTTACAGAGATCCTGTGGTAGAGCCGCAAAGAGAGCACGTTGATGTTGACGGAAAGTAAAGAAGGCATCTTCAACCTGTGATTTAGTAGAAAGAATGAGCTGTTGAAGTAGGAGACGGGCATGATCAGGAAAGGGAGTGCCCAGTGGGTTGGTTTCCAGGAAGTGGGAGAAGGACGGGGGCAGAACTTGTTCAGCAAGACAGTCACGTAGGAAGCGAAGATGATTCTTACGACGCCTTATCCGCCTCTGTGTGGACTCTAATTCCTTTTCCTTCCAAGAAAAATATTATTCTCAAACCTTCAGTGTGGCTTTGGGCTCTCCTCTCTCTCCTGTCCTTGCTAATCTTTACATGGAATACTTCGAGACTGTGCTTCTTCCTACCATTGATGTGCAACCTTCACTCTGGCTCTGCTATGTGGATGACATCTTTGCTCTGTGGCCTCATGACTCCAGTCTCTTCCAACCTTTTCTTGAAGCTCTTAATAATCTTGCCCCTTCCATTAAGTTTAAAGCTGAATGGGAATCTAATTCCTTGCTTCCTTTCCTTGATGTCCATGTCCACCGCTCAGATACAGGTTTCTCCTTTTCCGTTTACAGAAAACCTATGCACAGTGGCATGTACATTCACTACTTTTCCTATCATGCTTCCCCTGTCAAGAAAAGTGTTCTTATCTCCCTCTTTCTCCGTGCCCTCTGCACCTGCGACCCTCAGTTCCTTCCAGCGGAAATTTCTACTCTTCATAATTCGTTTTCACGTCTTGGCTACCCTTCCCATTTCATAGACTCTGCCCTCTCACGTGCTAAACGTAATTTCTTCTCTCCCAAACTCTCTACTCCTGGGAACTCTTCTGTCCTCTGCCTTCCCTACATTTCCGGTCTTTCTGATCTCAACAATTCTCTCCGTCCCTTAGACATCAAGCTTACCTTCCGCCAGACTAACACTCTTCGCACTAATCTCTTTCATACCTCTCCTCCCTCTACAGATGTTCCTGGTGTCTACTCTATTTCTTGCTCCTCCTGTCCTCTTCAATACTTTGGAGAAACTGGTCGATCTCTTTCTGACAGACTTAAGGGGCACAAATGTAGTGTTAGGCTTGCCGACACTAACAATGCTCTTTTCTGTCACGTCAGAGATCATAGCCATCCTATTGACTGGTCATCTGCTAAAACTGTCTTCCCTACTTCCAACTTTAACAGTCGCCGTCTAGTTGAATCCTCTCTAATACACAACTTTCCTTGTATGAATCTTAGCCCTGGCTTCATCTCTGTAGATGCCTTCCTCTCCCACTACATTGTAAAATGCTCCAAACTTCACAATACCCGTGACTTAACCTGACTCCTCATTTTTTCTTTTTCTTTTTCTTCTTCTCCCTCTTCCCCTTTCCTCTTTCCTTTTCTCCTCTGGGTTGTCTTTCTTCTGTCTTGTGTTTCTGTTCCTTCATTATTTATTTCACCACTTCCTCTTTCACTCACCTCTGTGCACTTGCTCTCCCTCTGTGGGCACCTAGCTCCCTTGCAGTGCTCCCCTTTCTTTGTATTTGACTGGCTCCTCCTCCTTATTCCCCACTACTACCACTACCACTACTACTTCTACTACTAGCACTATTACTACTACTACCTCTACTACTACTACTACTACTACTACTAGTACTATTACTACTACTTACACCACTACCTCTTCCTGCCTATATATAGCCGTCCTGCTCCACTTCTGGTTAGTGTGACTTTGTAAATGGTCCAAGTCGGACCGAAACGTCGTCGTAAGCTTCTCTCTTCTATGTGTGGGTTATTTGTGAGCTCTATATATTCTTGGTTAAGTTTCATTTAGATTATGCTGCTCAGTTCTGGTCACCGTATTACAGAATGGATATAAATGCACTGGAAAACGTACAGAGGAGGATGACAAAGTTGATCCCAAGTATTACAAATCTTCACTGTGAAGATAGACTGAGGGCTCTGATTCTGCACTCTCTCGAAAGGTGTAGAATTAGGGGGGATATGATCGAGGTGTATAAATAGAAATCAGGAATTAATAAAGCGTGCTGAGAATTTCTAGCCAAGACAGGACTCGTAGCAATGGTTTCAAGTTGGAAAAATCAGATTCAGGGAGGATATAGGAAAGCACTGGTTTGGTAATAGAGTTGTGGATGAGTGGAACGAACTCCCGAGTACAGTTATAGAGGCTAAAACGTTGTGTAGTTTTAAAAATAGGTTATGTAAATACATGAGTGGGTGTGGGTGAGTGTGAAATTGACCTGAATAGCTTGTGCTACTGGGTCTGATGCCGTGCTCCTTCCTTAAGTAGAAGTGACTTGACTAGGTGGGTCTTTGGGCTAATCCTAGGAGGTGGACATGGACCTGCTTCGCATGAGTCAGTAGGCCTGTTGCAGTGTTCCGTCTTTTTTATGTTCTTATGTTCTTATGCAAAGTCATGAAGAACATAACCAGATGTGTGGTGGAGCAACTGGAAAGGAATGAGTTAAAGACTCAGCACGGTTTCAGAGAAGGAAAATCCTGTGTTACAAACGTTCTGTAGTTTTTACGACAAGGTGACGGAAATAGCATGATAACGGCATAAAATACCGAGAGGAATTGACAGGGTGGTTAGGGACAGGATGTTGCAGAGATGGGAAACAGCAACAAAAGCTCACAGTTGGAAGCTGAAGACTCAGTTGAGTCACAGGGATGTTAGAAAGTATTTCCTCAGTCACAGAGCTGTCAGGAAGTGAATCTCGAGACTAATGTACTGGACTCAAGATCCATAAATAACTTTAAGAGGTATGATAAAGCTCGTGGAGCAGGGAGAGAGAGAGTGGACCTAGTAGCGATCAGTGAAGAGGAGGGGCCAGGAGCTATGAGTCAATCCCTGCAACCACAGTTAGGTGAGTACAAATTAGGTGTATGTACACACACACACACACACACACACACACACACAAACACTCTATTGACAAGTGCCTTTGCCAACAAGCAAGTATCATATCTTGCCAAGGAATGAGTAATGCCATTTTGATCTCAAAAATATAAGTTATTTAATATTTGATTAAAAGTTTCGTATCGCAGAAAAAACACATGGGGATGAATATTTTATAGTTTATACTTTCGCACTTTTGTGCTTTTTTGTAGAAAACAAATTGTAAACGCAGCAGTTTAAAGGGGAAATTCTCTGAGAAAAGGGCCCAAAAAGGAATCAGGGGGGCCCCACGTCACAGAATGGGGGGGTTTCACCCCCAAAACCAACATCCACTCCCTTTCCCCTTACAGTTTTCGGGGGAAAAAGGGAGGTGGAAAAACATGGGAATGTTTACAACAGTAATTTTAAGTTTAAAGGGGAAGGCAGTAGTAATAAAAAAACCCCGCATCTAATCGATATCACCTAAAAAAAATTGTAACTTTACAAAATTTTTCAAATCAGATGCACTGTAAACTTATATTTGTCAAAAACTTTAGAGAATTTTCCAAAAAAAGTGCCAGCAGAGAAAAAATTTTTTAAAATTTGGTCCCCCACATATTTTTTCTACTCCCATCAATTTTTTTACCTTACTCCAGGGACAACTGAAAGGGTTTCTTAACATTGGGAACCCTTTAGATCGAAAAAGAAAACCCCTCCCTTTACTTTCTTGGGTTTTCCGGGGGAAATCATATGTATGTAGCAGTCACGAAAAACCTTGCAACTCCCAAAACCCTATGAAAGGGCCCTCATCTACTACTATCACTATAAATTTTTCCTATAGCACAATACAAAATGTGGCCCGGGTTTTCTGAGGGGGAAAAAACGTCCAAAACCTGCAGATAAGGGGGCCTAAAGGTCCCCCAAAAATCCTCAAAGCCCCTTTTTTCCTAATAACCATTCTGGGGTTTTTTGAATAGCATCCTTGCTGAAAATTTTGCAAAATTTGACTCTTGATAAATAGCTGTCCAGTTTTTTCTTTCCATGTTTGCTTAAAAAAACCCAAAAAGGATTTTCCCGTCAAAGCTTTCCTGGAGAGGGATTCCAAATTTGTTCCCTTTTTGATAACCGAACCAAATTTTGTTAATGACCTGGTTGCCCGCCCACCCCAAGGGTGACTGCAAGTTTTTTTTTGGGTTATAGAAAGTTCTGCCCCGAGTTAAAAACCCCAAAAGAGTATAGTGTTCGGGGAAATCTAAATTTCCCAAATGGGGTTTTTTTGTGTGTCCAAAATCAATGATCATTCTTAAGCAACTTCTGCTTCACTTTTTTCCTTGTTTTGAAAACAATTTTATGTTGAGGTTTTTCTTTTTTCATAACGAAAGGGTTGGGTACATTCCTTGTAAGGGAAAACCCGGGTATTTTTTTCCTAACGTTTGGTTGCGAAAAACTCCCAAACAAAATCCCTCGGGTATTTCATTTTTGGGCTAAAATTTATTATCTTATTAAAATTTTATCACAAAAAAAATTTCCGGTTTTTAAAAAAATAAAGCGGTCAAATTTTTTTTATAATGAAAACTAAAAAGCTAAAACAAAAAGATCGGAAACCTAAATCCCTCAAGAACTTATATAAAAAAAACATCTTTTAATCCAGAATTTGTGACTGGAAAAAAATAGTGAAAGTTTTTTTCGACACATTAACCCGACTTCCTGTACATGTAAAAAAAAAATATTTTCAAAAACGTAGATAGATAGGTCTTTTTGTAAACTTAATTGAGGGGACAAAAAACCCCTGGTCCAAGAAAGGGAAAAAATCACTATTGAATTCTCTATGTAAAGGTGGGCAAAAAAGCGGGCCCAGGCAAAATAAGATAATCTGACGGATCCGGAAAAATTTTTTGGTTTTAAATTTCCCTTTTTACAAAAAATTTTTATTATTAAACTATTTATAAAGGTTGTACCAAAAATTTGAATTATATATAAATATTTATATATATAAATATAAATATATATATATATAAAAATATTATTATTATATTTAATTAAAATTTATATATATATATAAAATATTATAAACAGGTTAAAAAAAAAATTATCATTTCAAAAATCCACAAAAAATTATTTTTCCAAACCCGGTTTTAAAAAAGGGTGAAAATAAACAAAATATGTTTTAAACAAGTAGGAAGATGCAACTGGGCGTCACCTCCCTCCTCATTTCAATTACGTTTCCCTTTCGGCAGTTTGTTTTGGGGAAAATAAATAGTGCAGTCAATGTTGGTAAAATACCCTTTTCTGCAAACACAAAAAAACCCCACATTTGAAGAGAGTAGCTTACCCC